ATCCATGAGAAGCTATTCAGCCATCTAATCACAATCTGTTTAATTTATTTACCCACATTCTAGACTTTGTAATTTTGTTGAGCGAAGCTGTTTTTTTTTGGCTCGAGCTTGTTTGTTTGAAACAACAATTTTTAGTAGTATGCAGCCGAAATTGGATGGGCTGTGGCAGATCCGAGCTAGAGATTAACTATCATTGCCATGGCAGGATATCAATTACACGATCTGACAATCTCAAAGTGAACGCCATACCACTATGTTAAGTCTTTTTATCCATTAGAAGTTCAATTGCATCAATTTTAGTTGACACATTGTATCAATTTTAGTTGACACATAAGCTTGAATTAATTTAAAGCACAGAAACACACAATTGAACTGAGTTTAAGCAAAAAACCAATCACATTCAACAATTGAAGCTTAAAATCAAACTGGTAACTAATTACAGCTCCTTATGCGTTTGGTTTTCTCCTATAAATGACGATTGATTAGAAATAGGTTTGATTGAGTATAAATGGTCAGTTTATGAGCAATATTATTTTGGTTTGCTTAAGCATTTGTTTCACTGATCATACGGAACACTTAATTGAACCCGGTTGCAGTCCAAATTTGGTTACCGCATATGAGACCAATAGTTTTTGATTGTTGGTTTTGCATGTGATCATGATTAATGTTTTTAAAGTTTTACACGAGTTTTTGCGCATGTGTCGTTTCATTTTTATCAGATTATTTCTACTTTTTTGACAGATTTTTTACAGTCTGAATAACTACGCAGATTGACAAAAAAATGCTAATCGTACTAGCAAAAAGAATAGTTTGAGAAAAAAATATCATTTCACGCTATCAGAAAAATGACTGATAACTCTATGACTAGCAATTTCTGCCGTGGGAAAGAGTGTGACTAGCATTTTTTAGTGGTGAAAAACTGTGTGTGTAAAACGCTGCCTGTTTTTTTTCTTGCAGTCCTTGAATTTATAATAATATAAAAAAAACTGAGAAAAAAAATTCTGGCTTCACACAAAAAATCGTTCTATTTTGTTATTTTTTATGCAAGAAGAAATCTCTAAAAACAACTTTAGTACGGTTATATTGGGGGTATCAGGTTTAATCATCCTCAGATTTAAATTATAAATTTTTGTAAATGTAGGAGAACACCCTTTTTTTAAACAAAAAAGTAAGGCATAAAATTATAATAGTATGAACCTGAATGACCAGCAATTTTTCCATTAGCTAGTAAGCTTCTCGTTAAGACTATTGTTCCGACTTTTGCAACGAAAGTACCGGAACACTTGTGCTGGGGGTGATTTTTTTTCTTCAGACAAACTTCGAAATTTTAACTTTTGAAAAAATATCATTCAAAACGTATTGTTTTCTTGAGCTTAAATTTGAAAAACAAATTTCACTTGTGATTAACTTTCGTAAAGTTATGGGGGTTTGACTATTGCCATTTTATCCAAATTGGGACAATTAACGCGCGATATATTTCCTGCTATTAACGCCTAAGCGGAGATTTAATCCGTCTTAGAAATCGTTCCAAATTGGTCGCAGGATGCTTATTTGCCATTATTGGTTTTTAATAGGATGGAAATTTATCACTTCTATTATTTTATATGGTGTGTTTTGGGGCATGAATTTCACAAAAAATCTCAAACTAAAAAAAATCATTTTATTTGATTTCATTTAAATTTTTCAAGTTATTACTGCTGCATAGACATTAAAAGGCAGTTGGAACTTTCTGGGATTTGCCCTGATACGAACTGTCTTGTTAGGGTTTGAAAACCTCTTATTTGGCATAATATTACGCCAATTACGCCAATGTTACGTTTTGCCAATATATCTTGTTTGGCCAATATTACGCCAATTATACCAATATTACGCCCACACTTTGAAGAAAACCCACATGAATGTCATCCCCAATTGAATTGCGGTAAGCTAACTAGTCTTGGCCAATTACTGCGGAAAGTAAAACATTGTACTTTAAATAGCGTCGGGGTGTGGGAGGTGATGAAAAAAAATTAATTGTTCATTTATACGTAATTTTCACCAATTTCTTTAACAAAAAAAAACTGTTTCATAGACGTTGAATGGCAGTAAACACCCCGCTTGGCCCTGATTCAAACAGTCATGTTCTCTTATTATAACTTTGCTCGAGTTAATGCAATTCCTGGCGTAAAAAACTGGAATTTAAAAGCCAGCATTGATCAAATGTTTCTTGAAAACGCTTAATCCGGTTGATTCTGCTTATAAATTGATATATCGGCGATGTCGTTGATCGAAGTCATAAATGCACAAGGAAATTGACAAAATTATTTGTTGTAAAATGTTAATATATAATTTGAATTCTGTTTATTAATGTTTTGAGCAGGCTTATCTTCACAAAAATTTTGAAATCGTCTTTCAATAGCTTTGAATTTTTTAAATTGAATCATAAATAAAATATATTTTTTTAGTTTATGTAAAAGGTGATCTAGTTTAAAGGGTTTAATCAAGGATCTTGGTTGGTTAGTAACAATAGCTCTCAAATCAAATAAGAAATGAAAAGCAATTTCATAAATGCAAATCGGAACAGGTTGCTGTTTTGCAACTCAGTTGTCGTATTAAGTTGTTTTCGTTTTATTCTTGATCAACCACGATTCATTTTAGAGGCAACTAAAATTGCGCAGAAGAACCCAACCTCAGCACTATTTGTTTCCCACTGTAAAAATTGTTAGAGCAACAAAATTTTTTAATGGATCGCTTTGGTATTACACACTTTCAATTAAGATAAACAGCTACACGCAAAACAGAAAAATTTTAAGTTTTAATTGCTCCGACCATTTGAAAAATGTGAAGGAACTCTGTATTTGGGAGTGTTTTACTTTTTCTTTCTTTTTTTCTATTTCTTCCTTTCAACGCAAAATCAAGTAACACAAATAATCATTGGAATGGACCGAGTGATATACTAAATTGAAGCCCTTTCAGTCTTGATTCGAATGACAAAAGAAATTTCCAGTATTTTTCTGAGTATCAAGAAAAACTGGTTTGAATTTTTTTGAGCAAATAAGGCGATCGAGCAGGCTTACAACAGCATATTTATGCTTAATTTAAGTCCAGAAAACTCAGATTTGAGCAAGAAGATTGAATTTTTGAAGTTTGTGAGCTTTATTTTGGGAACCAAACACTTCAAACAAAATCATATAATTTCTGCTATAAAATTTGAAAAAAAAGTTCAAATTAATTATTTTTTGACTTTTTGTTTTTCTAGTCAATTTTCTACAAAAACAATTGTCTCAGTGGCCTAGACTCTTTTCCAGTTTCCGCCCCTTTGATTTTTTCGGAAATTTAATACATGGAAACTTATTTAAAAATGACTTTTCATGTTATAAACTGCAGCTACTTGGTTCGTTAATTTGTGTCAACTTTCTATATGAAAGGCTAAAAAGGTTTGAAATGTGGAGTAATTTGGCTTTTACGATTAATTTTTGATAAAATTTTCTTAGATATTTTAAAATTGAGAACGTGCGTTTTAAGATAACATGGTTTACTTTCTTTTGCACAAACCCCCCCTATTAAATCAATAGCTTCAATAAAGTTCTTCAATAGCGCAGAAATTAGAATAAAAACAAATTTCGAATTAAAAGCTAGGCTCTTTTCCAGTCCCCCCTTACTATTATAACTAGCACGGGTATCTTTCTCTTTTCGTTTAACGCAATTCTTATCATCGTCAAATTGAATTTTAGTTTCGGCATACTCCATATATTTCGACTTAGGACTAAAATTGATTAATTTGATTTATGTGAGTAGGTGTTGGGCCGCATATTCCGATTGATTTCATTTACAATATTGGATACCAGGCTACAAATGGCTATGCATCTAGTACGTCATACACTCGATATTTAAATGTTTTTAAAACAAAATTTGTAGTTGCAAAGACGTAGTTGATAAAAAACAGCTAACCAAAATTATTAAAATGGGTAATATGTTTAGGCGGGCTAACACATATCATCAGGGGCGGATTTAGGGGGGGGGCGGGGGGGGGGCGGACGCCCTCCCCCCTCAGGGATTCGACCCCTTGCCGACCCAAAGGGTCCCCCCTTTGACACTTTTTCAGAAATCCATTTTTGGCCGACCGACCCTAAAATTTTTCTAAAGGCGCCTTAGGCGCCAATAATACTAACTTTGAGGGGGAGCGCGCGCCAAAAAAAACGCGATTTTTTGTCAAAATTTTTCAAAAAGTGCCCAAAAACGGCTTTCTTGACTGTTTTTTCAAAAAAATTTTCAAGAAATAGGGGCAAAACAGTGCTTTGGGAGAGCTCGAAAAATCAATTTGGTCGACCTAAAAAAAAAAAAAAGGTCGTCAAAATTTTCGAATTTTTTTTTGAAAATCCGCCCCCCCCCTCGAGAAAATCCTAGATCCGCCCCTGCATATCATAACGAAAACTATGAAACTTGATGGTTTTTAGTTTAACTAAAATAATAACAAGGATACAAAACAATGAGCCAAATAATGTCAAGCAAACAAAATTAGCTAGTTATTTTTTTTATAGCTTTTTTATTTTTTTTATGATATCATAACGAAAACTATGAAACTTGATGGTTTTTAGTTCAACTAAAATAATAACAAGGATACAAAACAATGAGCCAAATAATGTCAAGCAAACAAAATTAGCTAGTTATTTTTTTTATGGTTCTTTACAAAAGACCATGATAATTCTGGTGAAATTCCAAGCAACTTTAGTTCTATTAATTTTTTGTCTAATCGATACCCAATGTGAGAAAAACGCGTTTGAAATTTCCAATGTTGTTCGTTTTGCCCGGTTAATCTAAATCAATACCGTAGACCAGAACGGATAAAAAGGAAAAATAAGAAAATAACTTCTTAGTTTTTTTTTCACTAGCACCAAAAACTTTAAATTGCGCCAAATTTTGCTTTTTCGCGAATCGAAATTTCTGTTGTGAAAAAATCATCTTGATATTGGTTAACATTTTGCATTAAAATAATATTGCAAAAAATGTTTGATACTTACAGAATAGCCCTTGCGTTGTCATCTGATTGATTTTAGAGAAGAAGAAAATTCAGGAGCTTCCATTTTCCTGGAACCTTTTGAGATATTAAAAAGATTAAGCGAATTTTTTCCCAATTTTTACTAGTTTTCCGAGAATGCTTACAGAATGGCGTCGAATTTTAAATGAGGAACAGTTGGTCTGTTTTTTTTTATGAAAACAAAAAACAGTATTTTGAACCAATGTCTCTCGCTTGCTGATTGGGCGATGGTAAGATAAATAAGTCCCACTTTTTCCCAATGTGTTAATTTATTATTCGGAGCATCATCTATTTTTGCCTGATATCATTTGAGTTAAGAAATAATTAAGATATTCTAGCCAGTATTATTCTGAAGAAAAAACTTTTAAACCGAGTTTTCAGCATGATTTTATTTTATAAAATCAATGACAAAACTTGAAAAGCTTAATCTAAAAACATAGCTTTTGAAAAGTCATTTTTCCGCAGGACTTTAATCTCATGCAGAAAGGAACTATATCATCTCAATTCAATCACTTCACCACCTGGAATCCACTCTACCACTAACGATGTCTAGATTAACAAAATTAGTTTAACTATCCAGTCATTTCTTAGTTGCTTGCTTTTGGGCGCGTAGAGACGATTGGGGTGAGGAGAGAAGAACGAGCTAAAAAGCTTTTTAAGAACTAAACTCTTGCACATCTTGCAAAAATGTTTGCAAGGTGGTCAATCTTTATGCAAAAAAAAACAAATCTGAAATTAACTAAATATTTATTAGTAAAGCTGAAAATAAAATTTTTAAAATTTAAGTTATGTTTTTGTTGGCGCCAAGTGAGCCAAAAAAAGCAAATGAAAACCAGAAAGGAAAGCGTTTTAAAAGAAAGTTTAATAGAATCTTCGGACCAAGTTAACATCCTCGTCCCCCCATTTGGGGGGGGGGGATGTTAACTTGGTTCTAAGTTGGAATTTCTTGGCCAATCAGAATCGAGCATTTTACATGCAGCGCTTAGCAAATTTGATTTATTTTAATCGCTGGGTGGAGGATCTTAACTTGGTCTATTGGGGAGGGGGGGGGGGTGGGGTGTGGAGAGGGGTGGGGGTGCATTGTGGAGGGGGGGGGGGTGGGGTGTGGAGGGGGGAGGATGTTAACTTGATCCGAATCTTCCAGCTGAGGCAGCTTGTTCTTGTTTTTGAATTTGAATGTCACTTTTGTGACTCCGACAGTTTCATTCATGAGTACGTGTGACATACATGTATGATGATGTATTGTATGGCTCTTATAGATTTTACCACAATGTTCACTTTTTGAACATTGTTTTTGAACAGTTTGCACACTTTTTTTTATCAATGTTCATTTTATTTGTATTCTCTGTTCCATTACACAATGAAGACCACGTTTCAATTTTTATTAAAGCTATACCAATAATATGTAGATCTTAGAAGCTATAGTAAATGTGATTTCGAAATTATTGCGCACAGATTGCGCGCAAAATGTGGCACTAGAAAAACAAATCCAACTGAACTATTATCATATCTGAGATGCCAACAAAATATGCAATCGATAAAACCAGATACTCCAATGGCATCATAGTGATCCCGTCATCCAGTTTGCCACGTCATCCTCTCCCGGATACACTTAGAGTGTGGCACAGTTTTAGATCCGACTTGTAAAAGCATCTCAAAAAGCATTAGAGCCACCGCATTGATAATAACTAGCCAAAACAGCTATACTTAAACATTGTATCATCTTTTGACAAAATTGGCTCGCTTTACTAAAAAACAACTGTGAAAATCTAGGAAAATAGTGGCATTATTGTATCAAATTATGGACCGGACCTTACTATTGTTGGCTACCATGTTGGCGTGTTTAAGTGGAGGGGTTAGGGGAGATATCAAGTTCCCCAAAAACCAGAACACCAATCACAGGTGGCCACCCCTCATTTACAAGCACGAGGGGGGCAGAATACCAGACGGTCATCTCAGGTGAGAAAATATGAACGTCAAAATACTTTTAAACACGTGAACAAAGAGATTTTTTCATTTTCTTCCTATTTTGATCGGGCATGAAATGGTATCAAAAAAGGAAATAAGTATATTTATTCATCAAAAACTGTTTGACTCAACGTGCGTGACAAAATACCATATGGCATTTTACAAGTGGGGTATAATTGTGTCTGGGATAATAAATTGTCTGCTACTTGCATAAATTTTGCAGGCATCAAATAGTTATCAACTCATATGGCCGAACTTCAAAGTGATTTCATTCGAGTCCTCGGGCTAAATTGAAACAAGTGTTATTTTTTATCTATGCCTCAATCAAGGCACTTTTTGTTATGTGTGTCTGTTTTTTCTGTGATTGTCTCTTTGTTGATGTGTTGCAGACCCTTCGGCTACCAGAAGAAGTCTGAAGGAAGGGCGAAGGAGTTCGACAAGCCACTGTCCCCCAAGGAATTCCACGACACCTGTGTCAAGGCCAACATCCCCTGTCTCTTCCAAGTTAGCCTTAAATCTGACCTGTTCATGCAAGCAAATAACCCTAAGTGTTGGGCAGCAATAACAGCCTGTTGCAAATTCAAGTAGCTAAAAATTGTTTGATCAAGCTCCCATTATTTTTCATTCACAAAAAAAAAACATGTTTTTTCAAGGAAATAGCGTATCGAAATGAAAAAAAAGAGAAAATTTTTAAATTGAAAATAACTCCAATAATTTCATTCTCATGAAAAAACATCCTGAGACATTACCAGAAAAGCATAAATTATGAGAATGAAAGAGATAAAGAATCACTGAATTAATTATTAAAATGGTCATAAAGCAGAAATAATTTTATTAAATTACAATAGGGAGCAAACAAAAAATTTTTGCCAGACCCAACATCGAGCTGATAATAGTAGCGTCAAACATATTTTGGTTTGGATTAATGATCTCAAGATGAATACAATAACGGTGAAACAATGAACTTATCAGCTCTAGCCTTATTCTTACAACCCTTCCAATGTTACCAAATTTTGGCTGCTCCTCAAAGTTTCCAAACATTTCTAAAGATGTTTGATCAGTTATTTTGGAACACACAGTAGAGTTTGTATCTTTTACACAGTAGGGGTTTGTATCTTTTACTTTTTCAGGCCACAAGTTGAACCAATTGCAAGTTTTTAAAAAAAAAAATTTTTTTTTTCTTGTCATGGTTAAATTGAAACAAGCTTCCTCAGTACTTGATTTGAATTTGCAGTATTCTTATTTCGGAAAGTTCGACCAAAACATGTTATTTTTTTGTTCATGACTTTTTGAAAGTATTTTAGAGTTAAGTAAATTACTCTGAGGCCATAGGAAAGTTTTTCTGATTTTTTTTCTTACAGAAAATAAATTTTCCAAACTTTTCTTTAAGCACAATAAAATTACCTTTCTAAAGTGTTTAGCGCTTTTTCTTGAGTGGTAGCAAATACTTGAACTAACTGAGAACTAGGCTTTTTAAACCTGCAACCCTGTGTGTAATTGTTGGTGAGCTGTATAGTTGAGCTAGAGTTCTGATTGCTATTGCCATTTTACTTAGAACGCTGTTCACTTCTGGCTCCATTGGGAAAATATTTTCGTCAACGATGACACCTAAATGCTGAAACTGATTTTGTTTTTTTTTATTATAGCATCTGGTATTTTTATGGTTTGCACGCACTTGTTTTCAAACGAGGTATTGCAATCTAAAAAACTATTTTTTAAAAAACAAGTTAGGGTAATTTTCGATAACTCATGTTGACTAAATGTCGAAACATACCGGACTTTTTTTGAGTCCGAAATTATTTTGTTTGAGTCGAGCACAATCGTTTTATTTAATTGAGATAGTCAAAACATACCCGACTTTGATCGAGACAGTCGAAATGTACCAACTTCTGGTCGATACGGTCAAAACGTTCCGAACTTTGATCGAGACGCTCAACACATAATGCGCATATAACTTAAAAAATATAACTTAAATTATCGCATATTAGAGAGATTTCTGTTTTGTAGCTGATCTGTATTTATAACACATAGGCAAAGCGGAGCTTTGCACCACTTGCGATACGAGACAGAAATAAAAAAAGTTTCAATTGTTGAAAAAATATAGATGAACTAAAAACTTTGCATGTCTCGATGCTGAAGGAACATGTTTGATATTGAACAAATTTTCTTTACTGAATGCGCAGACTAGTAATAAGTCTTCAGAGAAGGATCAAAACAGTTAATATGTATTCAGCTGAATTGAAACAACAATAACACAAGAACAGAAATCAATTGAAAAAAGGGGGCCTTCTTTTTTCAATTGATTTCTGTTTTTGTGTTATTGTTGTTTCAATTCAGCTGAATACATATTAACTGTTTTGATCCTTTTCTGAAGACTTATTACTAGTCTGCGCATTCAATATAAACCCTTATTTTTCAGAAACTTTTCCGTTTGGTGTATTTAATATAATTTTTTTAGGTGTATTTTTTATTTTCTTTTCTTTGCGAGCTTCGTTTGATACCGTTTTTGTTCCGATTTTCAAAGAATGTATCAGAATTTTTGTGGTGTTTTCTCCAGAATATTTAACTAGCCATTTTTAGTGGACCTTTTTTTCAAAGTTCTGAAAGATATCGATGATTATAGCTCAAATGAAGTGTCTCATGAAGTTATGGGGGTTTGAAAATAGCCTGTTTGGGAAATTTGGCCAATTGACTGTAACAACTAACATAAAAAAATTTTTTTTGTGATATCAGCGTATAAGCGGCTATTTAATCCGTCTTAATTTTTGATTTGAGGCATGCTTATTATCCGAACTAATACCGAACGTTCATTTGAATACATCATTTTGAACTTTAAATAGCGTGTGGGGCATGATCGTCACAATAAAAAAGCTTTTTTTTTCAAACTTTTTTTATTTATTAATAAAATTTTCATCAATTTAAGTAAATCAAACACTATTTCACAAACTTTGAAGGGCGGTCGAAACCTTTAGTTCATCGTCTTGATACGAGCAGTCCTGTTCTGATTTATTGATGAGTGTTTTTTGACAAAAAATATAACTTAAATTATCGCATATTAGAGAGATTTCTGTTTTGTAGCTGATCTGTATTTATAACACATTGGCAAAGCGGAGCTTTGCACCACTTGCGATACGAGACAGAAATAAAAAAGTTTCAATTGTTGAAAAAATATAGATGAACTAAAAACTTTGCATGTCTCGATGCTGGAGGAACATGTTTGATATTGAACAAATTTTCTTTACTGATGCGACTAGAAAATGTGATTTTAAAACTTGGACTTTGCCCAAAACCTTATTTGTTTCCCTACTAAAATAAATGCGAAAAGAATGAAATCGAGATAATCAGTTTTCCCAAAAAAAAAATTTCTTACTAATAATTAAGGAGTCGCCGCTTCTGCGGGAACAATTATTGCAATCGGTTTTTTTAATTGAACAATTCATCTCAGATTTCATTGTGTAAATTTTATGAAAACTCAAAAAAAGTTTAAAAGTTCTTTAAAACATCCAAAGAATTTTGCTAAATTGATAACTTTTTCAAGCAGAAAGCAGGTTGTGGCCGCTTAAGCAGTGAAGTTTCCCAAAACCGAGTTTCTCGATTGAACGCAACCTGAGAATTGACACGATAGTTTTCGCGTAAAGTCAAGAAATTTACAAAAAACTTTCAAAGTTTCAAAATATTGAGTTGTTTGAAGACCATAACTTCAAAAAAAGTCAGAGCAAAATTTGTAGGTACACTTTTAACAACCTGTTGCTTTGATTAAATCTATGACATTGGATTTGACACGATAATTAGCGGTCGACAATTAAAAACGGTCAACAATTAAAAAAAATTGACTATTCCGATGATCATAGATTTTTGTGTGTAAAAATTATGCAGAAACGTTATTTAGAAGAGATTCACGCAACCTTTTATTTGGAATCAATCTAAAATTTCAGAAATGGGACGGTAGTTCTCGAATAAATCAAATACTTCCAAAAAAATACAGTCAACAAATCAAGACTTTTCTGAGAGCCATAATTTTTGTTGTCAGAAAATTTGGGCGCAGTCACATACCAAAATGTGATTACCGTAGCATGTTTTTTTAAATTGAAACCAAAATCTCGGATTTGGCAGATTTGTTATAGAGATTATTCAAAAAGCTTAAAAAACTGTCAAAAAGTAAAAAATGACATTTCCGTGGGCGATAGCTTTTTGTGTAAGAAACTTTGTGAGTGGCTGCTCAGTCAACTGAGTTTTCAAATACCCGTTATTTCCATTGAAGTCACAATATCAGAATCAAGAGGTTAGTTTTCGAGAAAACACAAAAAGGTTCACAAAAATGTCTAAATCAAAATTTTGATTATTCCGAGGGCCATAACTTTTAACTTTATGTTAGAAAAAATTGGGCGTAGACGCTTTTGCAGAGAGTTTTTTAAAACCGTTTTGTTTATTGAAACCAAAAAATTAGATTTCAGAGGGGTAATTTTTAAGAAAATGAAAAAAAAAATCAAAATATGGATTAAACATTCTCCCACAGAGTTTTTCGAAGGCTGTAGACAGAGGGTTCAAAGTAAAAAAGAGGATTCAAATAAAAAGAGACTCTAGGGGAGTATGCAGGCAGACAGGAGAATAGGCGGTTGTTCAATTGATACCTCTTTTTTGAAAATGAGTAGAAAATTCTGAGAAAAACTCAAATTTTTCCAATAAATTTGGAAATAGTTTTCCTTAACGGAAAAAAAGTAAATAAATGTCAATAAACCGGTTAGTAAACAAAAAATTATTTTGAAAAAGTGCAGAGGGGAGTGTTAAAAATGGGGTTTCTCAAAACGGCCCAAAATTAGGTCATAAGGCCAATAAAAAACAGGCCAAAATAATTTAGGCCGAGGAACTTTTTTAGCGAAGCAAAAAAAAACAAAGGAAATACGAAGTCAAGATGAGTAAAACTAAACTATAGGCGTAAGTCAAACACCAAAAAGCAGTATTATAGAAAAATTGAAGCAGAAAAAAAACTACTCCAAGACATGACAACTAAGCCGACAACAGAAAAGCAGACAAATAAATGGCCGAAAAACTTTTTATGCTAAAAGAAAACAAAAAAAAAAGAAAATATAGCAGGTCAAGGTTTGTAGAATTACAAATTGCAGAAATAAATGAAACATAAATAGCAGCGAAAATGAAAACTGCATTCAGCAAAAAAATTTACGATATGGCATCTAGGCAGGCAAAACATAAGCAGACAAAAAATAAGCCGACCTTTTTTTGAAACCGAATTTTCCCGTTTGCAAAAAAGCAGTCCCTGATCAGATTGGAACTCAGGACTTGTGATGTCCCATTTGTATTCGTTACCTCCCGACTAAGTGTGTTGCCGACGTTATGAAGTCGAAACTTAATTTCATTGTGGACCAAAGTACCAAATGATTCAAATGATTCTGTTAAACAAGTTGTTAACCCGAAAAAAGTTTATTCCGGCTTGATCGCAAGCGTAATAAATATCTTCCTAACCATATTTTGGTTCAAATTCGTTGACCGATTTGCGAAGCAACGCAAAGAAACGATTGATATGGACTAAATCAGTTGACCGATTTGCGAAGCAACGCAAAGAAACAAGTTTTCTTTTAACAATTCAAAATTCTTTTTTAACTTTCAGCAAAATTCATTTTTTGTTTGCTAGGACTTGATGAACGGATCAGTGCCGATGGAGAATTGGGACGACAAGTCAATTGAGGGGAGGATGAGTAAGTTGAATGTGAGTGTAGAGAGGTTCCTGGCAGACAAGGCAAAAGAGAAGACAAAGGTCACCTTCAGACACTTCATCAGAAACTACCACCACAAGGAGATGTTCATCAGGTCAGCCATTAGATAATAATTTTTAATCAATTTTCGAGAAAGTATAGATTACACGTTTATCGTATGTGTGACTTTGCAAGCTTTCTCGAGAGGCGATCAAAAAAACACAAGGTCTGTCGAAAAATAACTCCATAACTACCCCCCTTCCAAAAAAAAAATAACTATCAAACACATTCTCCTAAAAAAGCTAATACGCTCTCTTGTTGCCCATTTTATTAGTACCAAGAAATACTAATTTGCAAATTAACCTATCAAAGATACGCTTTTATCTTAGTGTTACAGCAAAGGCATCAGGAGATGCATCAAAAAACTCTATGACTCAAAGATTTTTCATTTAGACTAATTTGTTCTTGTTCAATTAGCTGTGAAGTCAAATTTCTAAAAAAAAAAGACGTCTCAAAAAATTACAGCATAATCAAAATGTAAACTAATTTTTTAAAGCTTTTCTCTGAAATTCTCTGTTTGGAAATTTTCTCTGAAATTTAGATCACTGAAGCGCTTAGTTCCTCAGAAGACATCTTTTTAATCTTGAAATGAGAAACTCTTAATAAAAAAACCAGAGCTGTGACAATAAAGCAATGTTTGTGCTGTCAAAACTCGTCATAAACAATATTGTTCAATTAGTTAATGCCTACTTCTGAAATTTATGAAAGTTAGACTATTGAAGCGCTTACTTACGCATTACCCTGTAAGGCATCTTTTTAATCTTAAACAAAGAGGCGAAGCTGAGCCTCGCACCATTTGCGATAAACAATAAAGCTACAAAATCAAAAAATAATGTGTCTTGAAACGAAACTTGAAAAATATGAATGAGTTTTTTTGAAGAAACCTTAGGCTCAAAAACCAGAAAATTTTTTACGCAATTGTTATAGAATTCAATTACGATCAAAACAAAAGAAAAGTTTGGACTTAACTCCATCCATTTCTTTCTGATAACCAGTAGGTGAAAACGAGAAGAAAACTTTTCGATCAAAACAATGGGATACGATAACTCCTACAAGTACTCAAAAATGTTCATTAAATCTTGCAATCAAACAATGTACATAAATAATAAAAACGATCTGGGATAAAGGCCCTATCCGCTATAGTGCAAGATCAAAATGATTGAAAAAAATGATTACGAACAACTGCAACAAAAAAGAACTTGCAGAAAATCTGAAAAAATCTGAAAACCTATGAAAATAACGCAATTACACTAAAAATTATCAGTTATGAAATATACACGCAACAATAAAAGAGCTAGGTTACCACAAAAAATAACATTCAAAAAACACCAAAAATGGAAGTGTAAAATCATGAAAAAATTTTGTTAAATTTCAGCCACAAAAAACCACACACTCAAATCTCGTGCAGAGCTCCCCGCCAGATTCTTTTGCAGACAAAAAAGCCAATACGATTTTGCAAAATCTGCAAAAGATTTATCAACTTCTTTTAATTTTTTTTTTGACAAATTGAAATAATACGTTAAACCATAAACTTGAATCGCTTTCAAGTAAGATTGCTTAAGCCTACTACACACCCAAACAACTAAAACTAAAACTATTCACGCACTCTTAGAAGAAAAAAAATAAGAAACCATGCATACAAATGAAACTGAAAATTTATTTGCAAAAAACTATTTCTAGCAGAAGAATTCAAAGTTTTATTTCTAAGAGAAATTTTTGGAGCTTATAAAAATCGGAAAACCATGAAGTATTTTTACCCTCATAAAAAAGAAAAAAGTATCAACAAATCTACCAAAAAAAACTTAATTAACCGGGTGAGTAAGCCGACAAAAATTGGGTCAAACTCAATAAAGCCGACAAAAAATCAACTATAAATCGGCATTTACAAATCTTTTTCAGCCGTAAAACAATTATCACTTCAATCGTTGTAGCCAGCTTTTAAATTACAGCTGATAGACGTGCATCTTGAGTAGAAATAGAGAATAAAAATTCATTTGGAGTGATCGAATTTCAGTCATCCTGTGTTATTTACGGGAAAAAAGTCTATTTCCCGATTGTAATACCAAGGGTAAATAAGGGAAGTCATGGGGACTGGAACATTTTAACCGGGTTTTATTCAGCAAAATTTTCGTCGTAAGCAATACTGTTTAATATTTTTTGTTTTATGTTTTTCTAGGAGCACAATGCCGAAAGAGCTGGAGGAAGATGTGCCAATATTGTCTATGGTCAGTTGTGGTCCAGTACAGGAGGGCATGGTTGAAGTGGTCCTATGGGCCAGCAGTGGTTTCACTCCATCCCGACTACACTACGATGCAGAGTCACAACTGCACTGTCTCCTTACAGGCAGAAAGGACTTCGTACTCTATGACCCCAAGCATGCAGACATATTCAAACTACAGGAGACGTACAAGGGATCTGGCACTGGGTTCTGTCCCTGGAATCCAGAGATACTCAGGTTTGTTTAGTTTTGACTTCAATTTGGTTTTTTTGCTCGAAGATTATACAACATTTTGGCCAAATAAATTGCGGAAAACCCCAGGGATTTCACCCACTCACCAACCAAAGGGTACGTTTTTGTTGTTATTTTACAACGTTCATTGTCGGCCGACCGACCATAAAATTTTCTATAATATATACTAATTATGAAGGGCAGCGCGCGCCGAAAAAACATAATTTCTGGTAAAAATTTTCTAACGCCTTTTTAGGTCGGTTTTTATAGTGCTCTGGGAGTGCTCGGAAAATCAATTTGGTCTGCCTGAAAAAAAAGTTTGACCAAATCTTTGAAGTATTTTTGAAATTAAGGAAAGACTCGTTTTCTATCTTCTTACTTTCATCTACATTCTGTTTAAAGTACAGTGCTGATTTAAATTAACCGGACAAAACGCTTTAGACTTGAAATTTAAAACCCGTTTTTCTCAAATTGGGATGAGCTTAGGTGAAAACTTATGAACACAAAACTTGCTGAAAATTTAGCAGAATTAATATGGTGTAATTTGCTTTGCGAAATTCGGGCCCGAAGTTTTACCCCAAAAATGGGTCATTTTGGCTTTTCTTAGTTAATCAAAAATTACGCCGAAAATATCAAGTCGATCACAAACATAATTATGTCAAAGTGAGCCCCTTACATAGCCCAACAAACTTTAAGAAGGGTATAATCTCCAAAATATTCTAGAAGTTTATTTATTTTTGTTTGATAGACAAAATAGGTCGTTTTTACTATATAAAATACCAACTTTTTATTTAAAAACAATTTTTAAACAGTTTGCAATTTTTTGGAGAAAATACCCTTCTTAAAGTTTGTTGGGCTATGTAAGGGGCTCACTTTGACATAATTATGTCTGTGATCGACTGGGTATTTTCGGCGTAATTTTTGATTAACTAAGAAAAGCCAAAATGACCCATTTTTGGGGTAAAACTTTGGGCCCGAATTTCGCAAAACAAATTACACCATATTAATTCTGCTAAAGTTTTAAGCAAGTTTTGTCTTCATAAGTTTTTTGCCTAAACTCAACTCAATTTGAGAAAAACGGGTTTTAAATTTCAAGTTTAACGCGTTTTATCCGGTTAATTTAAATCAGCACTGTATCTTGGTTTGTTTAGTGTTTATGAGCACCCCAAACTGAGCAAGACTCCTTGGAAGTGGGCCACTCTCTGGGCAGGGGACTGTCTCTATGTGCCTCAGGGGTACCTGCACCAGGTCAGGGCACATGGCAGATCCTGGAGCATAGCATACCACTGGATTCACAGGTACCACTTTCAACACTCACATACTGGAACCTGATATAAACTACATTTTATGATTGGATAAATTAGATATTTTACCACTGTAAAGTATTTAATATTAACCAATCATGATCCATCTAACTAACAACCCACTTATTTGTAAGTGCTGGAATTACTTGTAATTTCAGCACCAGAGAGATTTGAATTTAACTTAGAATTTAGTTGCCTCTCCAAAGGAACTTCAGCAGCCGCAATAAACCAGTATACCCTAGATCTATTGAGCCTAGCAGAGACTAGTTAAACAACCTGAGACTAGATAGTATAAGAGTAAGATTAGGATCGGTATTAGACTAAGAAGTTGCACGAATCTATCTGGCCGAAAATAAGATAGCGTGACGAGCAGACGGTGTACCCTATCCGAAATTACTCTATGAGTTAACCACATCGGTCATAACTCATCTGGTGCGACCATAAGTCTCGAACAAGACCTTAATAGCTTAGAATTAGCCAAAAATAGATTAGAATTTAGACAAAACATTTTTAAATTGTTATACGACGATAATTTAATCGAAATGTCTCTACGACTCAATAGATCAGAGCCAATATTCCGAACGATAACAGAACTACCCGGAATTGCAAGAAGACCTCGAACCAGAGACGACATACGACAAAGTAGAAACTTACCAAATAGTTATATGATAGTACGGCAAAAGCCAACACAGACTTTTATATTTAGAATTTTATTAGCAATGAATTTAGATTTTCATTTGCAAACATAAAATCTTGAAGTCAATCTTCATAATCATTTCAGGCGCTAAACAAAACTATTAATATACAATAACGATTGATAAAAAGATCTCAGATCGTTTTCCTAAAATTCTGCAGTATTATATAAAACATGTTTGGAAAATACTTATTGAAAATCAAAATAAAAATTAGTAGCATGACAATAAACTGTTAGTAATTATAAAATCATCAGTTGTCCCAGCTTCATCACCTAAAACATAACAGCAATCATAAGCTCATTAAAATCATTAAAACACTAAATCTTTTCTTAAATAAATTTAAACCATTTTAAACTTATATTCACTTAATCTTAAAATCAGATCATCAAGGCTTATCCTTGGATCTTAATTAATTTTCTATTTAAATAAATTTACAAAACTTGATCATCAAGGCCTATCCTTGGATCAAAAAGAACAATTTTGTTCTCCCCCACCCACTTAGCTAGTGTCTAACGACCTCAAACGTCGATTCACTATCCACCCCTTTCAAAAAAAAACCCAAGACTAATAGAAATTTTTGAACAAAACTAATCATTCAAATTAGGATAAACAGTGAAGAACTTCGGTTATTCATCCTTCACTTGAACCCTCCTTTTACCAGACCCAGGATAAATCGTAGACTTAGTAAGTTTAAAATAGTATCTAACGAACTACTCGCGTTCTAATTATACCTGAACCTTGTGGATCGATTTACTATTCTCCAACCCTTGAACACAATCACTACCCTTAAGTAAGATTAAGTAAGTTAACACCTTAGCTTATACTAGCCACGAGAAAGTAAAAAATCATTCTTCGGAATCGATATACTTTTCTCTCCAACCCTGATTAAATAGACCCAGGTTAAGCTAACCAAAAATCGTAAGGACTAACAATTTAAGAAAATAGAAATCATCTAACAATTTTTTGCATCCGTCATCCTAAACCTTATGTCATTTAAAATCTAGGAAACAAACAAACAATCGTTTTACACAACTGTGAAATAGATAACAAAAAATACGACCTTGTAATCACACCTCATACACAAACAGTTGGATATATTAGAACAAAACGACAAACACTAAAAAGGAAAATAATAAACAAACAAAGACAAATAACACGAAAAAGATTTTCCAAAAATAGAAACGCAATTTCAGAATCAGAAGCCAGCATTTTAGACGAACTTTGTAAATTAAAAGAATCTATAGATAAAAATTGCCCCATTCACGATCAATTATATTTTTCCGACTCAGAAACAACTTCAAATTCATCAAAAAGAGGAAAAAGAAGAATAAAAAAGCAATATAAACACAAACCAGTACATTTATATAATTGGAATCAACCAATTAGACATATCGATAATTACCTATTAACAGTCATTAAACGAAAAAATGAGCCAGACACACACCCCAAGTGAAGATAGTCCAGATGATGACGATATCTACCCCTTCCTCGTAGATGCACCCAATGATAGAGGACAGCATATACTTTGCAAGAATTTACTCCAAAATTTATTTGAACCCGGAATCAGCCCATGTAAAGCAGAGTTCCCAGATGTAAAGATCAAAAGACAAATTATTGATCACTATCTGAAAGATATATGTAATTTGACACAACAATACGGAATCTACACCATAGAATTCAGCTCACCAAACCCGAATCACCGCAAATATGTAATTCAAACAGACGACCTTGATTTAGAATTCTCAAAAGTATTCTCAGAATATATAAAAAGCATACAATATCATAACTCACAAAGAGCAAACTCCATATTCACTATTGAAGTTTTTGCCATAATATATAGTTATATCTCAATATTAGAAAACGAAATCCCAATCCCAAGTGTCTCACCGACAGAGACATCTAAACATATAAGGGTACGACATGAAATCACACTATTTTCAACTTTTCTACATATAATTAAAGAAAATTTCACTAAAGATGATGTTTCACAACATACAAAACATGACCTACAAAAAATTTTGGCATGGTTTATAATAGATTATTTCACACATAATATAGATTTAATTTCACAAGCAAGAAAAAATTTCAGACCTCAAAATTCAAAAGATGATACCGCAATCACAGAGCAGTCAGACTACGTTTGGGACCCCGAATGGTCTCATTATGCATTTATAAATATCCCACAATCAATTGCAAGTCAAGCAATAAGTACAATATCTTATACAAGAGATTATGTAAGAGTAATACCATTATATATTGATGCAACACCATTAAACCACAATACATTTTTACCCGATACGCGAAATAACAGTTTAAATTCGACCGTCATACACAATGAAAACCTTAATGGAACTAGGAACCTCACTCAACAAGATATTCAGACACCATCACACTTCATAAATGAAGAAATTGTCCAAACAACAACAACTACACAACAAAGTATTTCACCGATACGTCCAAATTTAACAACACCAAGAAATACAAACACTTCACTAGCACAGGTAACCTTACAATCAACCGTTAAACCTTCGGTTGCTCCAAAATATTCACAAATGGATTATCAAACATATAGACCCATGACAATACCGTCAAAAACACGCAGAACGTTCACAAGAAACAATTTTGCGGAACACAATTATAATTACACACATTCATCAAAAACAAACTATCCCCCCCGAAAAAATAATAATAATCAGATAAGATCTCGATATTGGGATAACCCAATGGCAACAACCAATTCAGTAAATTTTCAAACTAATTCACATCCTCCACAGGATCGTAGTGAAAATTACCCATTCTTTCAACAGAATAAAAATAAAAAGCAAGCATCTCATCAAACGGATTATTTATCCTCTGACGATGATTATTTACAACCAGATATATTTGCACCATACACTCAAGAATATCGTGGACAAGGAGTGCAAAAACCGTATACATATCATAGAATTTTTTCTCCACACCCAACAGATACACAAAATCAACAACCAATACAAATGCAAAACCCAATTAATACACAATCTTTTCAACCAATTCAGCCACAAAACCCAATGATTACACACTCGTATCAACCAACACAAATGCAAAATGAAATACCACTTCCATATTACCTTCAACAATACGAAATAACAAAAAATCAACTTTCGAATTTTTCACAAATGCCAAATGCAGCAGAATCATTACAAATGACAATGAATCCATACCTTATGGGTGGATCATCAATAACATCAAACAAACCATTAATGGTATTCACAGGAACAGACCCTGAATATTCTGTAGAAGATTATTTAAATGCAGTAACAGCAAATTTAATTTTAAATATAGGACCTGAACCAATTAATACGCCACTACATCAAAACTGGATACATCGACGCACAGCGTTGATACAGACAACCTTAGACGGCGCAGCCCAAAAATGGTTTTCAGTATTGCCTATAGAAATAAAATCAAACTGGAAAAGATTTACACAAGAATTTTCAAAATTGTTTGACTCCGAGAGAAACAAACAACAACAAAGAGTTTTATGTAATGAAATTCGCAGATTACCAAATGAAACCATCAAACAATTAGCAGTACGTATCGAAACACTAGTTCGAAAAGCATATTCATTAAATACACACGACTATAAAAACACAAAAATTACAGAAATCTTAATGATGACCTTAACACCTCAATTAAGGAAAATAGCAATAAAAAAGAGAGCATCCCATCCCTCCTCAATTCGAGAGCCCGATTTAGATTTTCGAAAACTAGTAGACAAACTAGAGCAAGCGGAAATCACAATGAAACTTGAAGAAACAGAAAATCTGAAATTACAATATGTTAACCGAATTGAAACAAATACCACAAATATCAATAATATACAGGAATCAGATACAGACCTCGTTGAAAAAATCACTGAAATACTCAATATTTATGAAAAACACCCAAACTTTAAAGGCAAACCATCTTTCAAAAAATGGTGTAATTATTGCCGACGATACGGACATAGTATTTCTGAATGTAGACAAAAACAACAGGACAATCAAAACAAACCTCAAAAATAAAAAGAACCAAATAAATCATTCTATCAGTACATGAAAAAAGATCAAAATCTACCGAACAAAAATGTATACAGCAACAACAGTTCAGGAAAACCACTTCCGAACAATACCAATTACACGAGAACTCAATCACCATATAACTCAAGTTATAGAGGAAGATCACCAGAACGAAGAAATACACAAAATTCGTCACAAAATCATTACAATAGACCAAATAGTCGAAATAACTACTCCAGATCAAATTCGAATAATAATGTAG